GATTTATCAACACGTGCCACTGCTTTTGCAATGATTATATCCGACGAAATCCACACTCTGTGCAAGCGGTGCGTTTAAGTGGGACGAGAACGATGGGAAAGAAGGGGGGAGTGACAATCCCTGCAGCACCCTATGTACTCTTCTTTTTTATCTTTAAATTACCGAACGCAATCGATAGCACTTGTCTTGCATCACACAGAAATAATAATTATGTCACGTTATTATTCCTTAGGCAAAATGAATAAATTTGATTTATCTCCTCTCGTTACGGATATACATTTTTCAAGAAAAACAATTTAATACATATAGACTAGTACAGACCCTTTCCATTAAATCTATATCAATACGTTCCAATTTCTTCCTTGAAAATGTTAAAATACTAAATAATATTGTAGTATACCTATATATGAAGTGTAATGATATTAGTACGTAGTTTACAAGAATATTGTCGAAATTCGAAACTTTTCTTTGAGTCACTATTCATTAATAAGAATGTATGAATCGTCCATACAGAGTATCATAATATTATACAACAATTATTTCTGTCAGTGAGATAAATTATTAATATAGGTACACAGTATATGATCATAGTTACAGTGATAGTCAAATGATATTTTTCAGGGGGTGTGGCTGATTTTTAACATGCACTATTTGATCATTAATATTATAATTTATATTAGTTATTAGTATAACAAATTTAACCCCCTGTAGGTGCTCAAACAGGAATTTTGAGATTTACGATAGAGATTTTTGTTTATTAATATGGTTGCTATGGGTTATAAGAGTTGAGAATAATATTTATTTATTACTATTTTTTTTTTTAATTTGAATATTAATGAAACGTCTCAATCTCATTCGTTTCAATCAGTCAAAGTTACCATCAGACGAGTATATCCACTTGCGTCACGCCATCGCTACTGAAGGAGAAGCGGCCAACATTGCTCGTTTGACCATTATCTCAGCTACTCGTGTGAGAAGCCCACGCATGATGAGTTCAATCGCGAATCGCAACGGGAGCAAGACTATGATCGAGATGAGCTAGCTGAAAGAGTTGAATAAATGTGCCGAAAAAAGAGCCAAACACCATCTTCCTCTTTTGTATAACATAATCACAAATCAGTGGAAAACTATACCAATAATTATACCACTAAACAGTTATGGTGAAACTTATTTACTCGATGATGGTCGCATATTTGATTTTGGTGGTATTAAGAGTAATTCTCAATATTTTCTTAAATCCGGTCATATTTTTGACTCAAACCATTATCGAGTAAATAAGTTTTACCATAACTATTTAGTGGTATAATTATTGGTATAGTTTTCCACTGATTTGTGATTATGTTAAACCAAAGAGGAAGATGGTGTTTGGCTCTTTTGCTCATAATTAAAACATACTGCAACAAGTACAATTTGGTGCTTCTAACTCAGTACCAAGGACTGTATGAACAGCATAAGCTTCATCTAAATATTTTCTACCTACCAAAATAATATATTTTGAAAAAATAAGAAAATCAAATATAAAAATATTATATAGTTACAATTGTTATTTAACTTGAAAAGTGGTTCTTTATCAACAGTACACTCAAAAAATTCATGGAAAACAATTCGGTCAAGCCATTTCGGAGGAGTTCAATAACAAACACTGTGGCAAAACATTTATATATTCGATTTATATATCTACTTGATATGCTGTGGTACAATGTTCGCGATCTGACGTAGTCGGATTTCCTACCAGGGGGCTGAATTGCACTTACTGCTGCGAGTTACATCCAAAAGTATTTTCGAAATCAGTAGTTCCAGAGATTACCCTCAACAATGGTAACTAACAACTCCCCTTTTTATAACAGCACTTCGTTGCTCTTTAAATGTATCAGCTATGTATGACTCAAACTTTGTTAAATTCGTTATTTAATATTCGGTGTATGGTGCTCAAAATTGATCTTAAATTTACCGTTGCCCCAAATAAAAATACTGATTCGCAGCAGTACATTATCAAGTAGGCAATCTACCTGCGGTAGATCGCGAACCTCGTGCTGTTTAACAAATTTAACCCTTTGTAAATTAACCTATCTTCTTCCCAGATGTCTAATCTACCCACAAACATTAATTTATAAATATATATATCTAACTATATAAATACACAGACTATAACAGTACAGACTAAACTCTGGAACTACTTATCAGATCTTCTTGTATATATTATATACATGTATATTCACAAAAGATAATATATTAATCACCAAACATGCCCGATTAACCAATAGCTACCAATATATTATACACCGGTGGATTTCCCTAAAATTTTCTTTCATATAAACCTTCTCCGTGAAATACTCTTTCGTTAAAAAAAAAAATCAAGAATATCTGATAAGTAGTTCCAGAGTTTAGCCTGTCCAGAGATTTTTATTTCACATTGTTATACTTAGATATTATATTATAATTTATATTTAAAAATTAAAGCAAATATTTTTTTTATTATTATTATTATTGTATAGCTTAAAAACCCATCATTGCTTATAGATGCATAATAATAATGGGTACTGATTGAATATGTATAATATGTACAATAACAAATAGTCGATGTATTATATAAAAAATGGTTTGTTTGTTCTCGTGGAAATAGAACGAATCATTTTATACGACGTCACTCATGGAAACCATTTATAAACAAAAATTTCTATCCGAAATCTCAAAATACCCGTTTTAACACCTCTCGGGGTTGATCCTCTCCCTTTTTAAATTAGCCTATCTTTTAAGTTCGGCCAAATTACACATATTGTAAAAATTTCATCAAGATCGGTCCAGTAGTTTCGAAGTTTATCCCGGACAAAGACGTGACACGAGATTTTTATATATAAGATATTATATATACAAGATTAGTATATTATATTGAAGATAAAGGAATCTATCTCTCTCATTCTCTTCGTTTGACCACCCCTGCATAGGTGAATATCCTTAGAAGTAGCCTCATACAATCGTTATAGTTCCTCAAATGTATTTGTATAATTGGACTATATGTAAATATTAATATTTTGATTCGGAACTTTAAATATATACCCCCCCCCCCCTCATAAAAAAATTAAACCAATGTTAGTCTAAAACTGTAGATACATAAAAATGTGTTATATTATACACATGACATATAACTTATAAATTAAGTAACTACATTAATATCGCCATTATCGCGTCATATAATTATTATGTTAACGAGATAAACATAATAATATCATGGTATAATAATAATAATGATAAAAATATCTTGTCAATGACATCCAAAATGATTGTATTCCATGCGAGTTGAAACGGTCTGCGTACTACCCAATAGAATATACCAATCAAATCTCTACTGTTTACGAATATTATTAGCATCATTGCGTTTCGGTATTTGATGATCAAATATTTAGTCAAACTGTCCCAATGCAGCATATTATATAATAATATGTACAATTGTTTAATGTGATTTAAATACTAACATAGATAATCAATACCATTCTGAACTGCTGATAATGAACATTTTTTTACATTCTAGTGATCGATTATGGAGTGTATTTAATATATTACAAGACAGAGCGTTTTATAATATAACTTTGTCATTTAATAAACTCAACTCTATTAATATAATTGTCTTGCACCGATTAAAAAAAAAAAAAAATATTTTACGATAGGTAAGCTCTTATACGCCGCCTCACCTTTAATCGGTCGCGCGAACCCATGGTTCCCTTCAGTATACCACGGTAGCCGGTAGGCATATTATTATCGTCAACAGAGAAATTTCTCGTGGGGTTGGTGGCAACCACGATAGCGGGGAAAGGTAGTCGTCTCGAAGAGGTTATATTATATACCGTCTTATATTATTATTATGATATTATAATAAACATAATATTACACGCAGACAACGGGCCCGTTAACGCGTTGGCCGCGGCAAGAGTCGTTGACATTTCGGGTTTTCGGTATAAGGCGCCTCCGGTGACCTATGGAAGTCGCGGCCTCTCCCGTGGAGAAGTGACATTAAAACTATATACATGTAGTCGTATGTATTCGTCGTCGGTGGCGCATTATTATATACAATATTATACGGCTAAGACCCCTCGTGTCCCCTCTCCTCCAATACAGTACATTGAGTGAGTATATATATATACATTATATTCATGGCACGTCGACCAGACAATAATTGACAGTTACTGACTAATGTCTTTGGCACGTTCGTCGTCGTTTCCGCAGTTTTGTTTTTGTCGCGTGTTCATTTTTTTTGTCGTCGTCGTCTCCTTTTCTTATTACGCGCTGGCAATTCTTCATACTTTAATTAAAAAAAATTCTCGTCGACCCAGTTGTGCACTCAGTCCCTCGGGCTGACACGAGCTCACTGCTGTAGTGCTGTATACCACTACGTTATTATTATATACACTCACCTTCGGCAATCATCGTCCGTCATCGTTTTTGAACACTGTATAATATAATACATAATATTAAAAATGTTTTATAATGTACACCACAACCAGAGATAATAAAAATGGATAATACATTCCTACACCACTTTAACATGAAGTGCTGAGGTTCTAGAAGCCTATATGTCTCTATCTCACTGCAAATGTGTCTTATACCACGACAGTGGTTACTGGTTAGGTTAATAATTTGTATAGTCCAGACTAAAATTGGTTCACACTACACCGTGTCGTGTGAACCCCCCTTAAAGGTGCTGTTGGGTACGGATCCGTCACACGTCTCGCGGACTTCGGTCGACCGTTCGTCGTTATCGCCCTACCTCCCACCACGAGCACACGCGCTTCATACAACACTTATCTCGCCGTTGTCGCGCGTGTTTTATATTATCGTTTTTGCAGTCCGTCGTCTCTCGTCCGTCGTACGTCGCCCAGCCATCCTGGCCTTTTCGGTTTAACGGTTTTTGTGTTTTTCATACCTTGCGGCCGTTTGCGCCAAAGGCACCGCCCGGACAGTGTGGTGTTCGTTTCGTGTTGTGTCGTTCTGCACACACACGAATTTCATACCTTGCGGCCGTTTGCGCCAAAGGCACCGCCCGGACAGTGTCGTGTTCGTTTCGTGTTGTGTCGTTCTGCACACACACGAATTTCATACCTTGCGGCCGTTTGCGCCAAAAGCACCGCCCGGACAGTGTTGTGTCCGTTTCGTGTTGTGTCGTTCTGCACACACACGAACTTCATTATTTTGCGGCCGTCTGCGCCAAAATAATAACCGCCGTTTTTCGCCCGCCCGTCGTTGCACGCAGTGCGATCCGCCGTGGTCCCCGCGTGGTATTCGCCGTTTGACCGCTCGCCCGTCGTTGTACGCAGTGCGATCCGCCGTGGTGTTCGCCGTTTTGACAGACGCCGCGACAACGACGTCCATACGCGACCGTACGATATTACGCGGCCGTACGAGCTTTTCGAACCCGCTTCGTCCGATTTCGACACATCTGTCAACCATGACGTTTTATTACACGGCAAGCTCATAGGTTCGTTGACCTGCCGGCCGACGTTGTCCTAGTCTACGTGCGGTGTACTGTCGCGATCCGGTTCCACCTCCGTCAGCTGATCGTCGTTCTGGGACAATCACACCACCCTCACGGTATCATCGGCATTATCAAGTATCAACGCATATCAGGTCGTACACAATATTGTTGTTGTTTATTTTTCGTATCACGCGCACCGTCACCGTGTATTATTTTCATTATTTGTAATTGATTTATTTGCCGATCGGATTGTGGTCGTGCACACTATACTATTATTACTAACCTTAGTCGTTAAGTTACTACATTTGCAGAACATTCAAAATAAATTATTCTGTACTTTTTTCATACCATAAAACGTAATTGTTAATGTTCATCCCAATACCCTAAACTCAATATTATGAATTTATCTTAAATACAGTCCACTCTCTCATCCTCCTCCCCACCGATAGAACGTCGAGGAATATTATACCTACGAAGACAACGAACGCGTCGGTTTACGTGTAGCTGCCGCCTGTGCACACACATCCAGGTACATCCGTCGCCCGGCTTCCTTGTGCAGCCCCCTGCTTCGCACATTTTTGGTCCTTCGAGCCGGATAGTTCACAAAATCGTTGTCTTTCGTTTCAAGTTGTTCTTGTATTTTTTAACGTTGCACTAATATTTTTCGATAATGACAAACAAAACTAAAAAAAATGAAACGGCCGAGCAAGCGTTGGAATGTGCGCGTATTGCACGTAACCGCGCACAAAAATCAATATCGGATATTTTGAACATCGCGAGGCTATCTGTGAACAATCCCGCGAAACGGGAACAATTATCCGCTAGTGTGAAACGCTTAGATAGTTTTTTTTCTCGTTTTCAAGCTGAACAAGATGTTATTATTAATTCATTGGTCGTTGTCGGTCGTTCCGATGAGTACGAAAAGATCGATTCACTCGTAGTGGATACCGTCGAAGCCGTTGTCGACGAAATTCGCGAAATTGTTGATCGAACGTCCGAAGTAACCGCGGCCATACAACCGGTGCCGTTGCGACAATCGTTTAGCACGTTTCCGAAAATTGAATTGCCGTCGTTCGATGGGTCCATAAAAAATTGGTGTGCGTTCCGTGATAGTTTTAAATCTCTTGTACATGAAGATTCCAATGTCGATAATATACACAAATTTCAGTTGTTGTCACAGAGTCTGACCGGTTCTGCATTATCTGTAATTAAATCTATTCCGTTGTCGGCTGCGAATTATAACGTTGCGTGGGCAGCGCTCACCGACCGATTTGAAAATAAACGTTTGCTCGCAACTGCTCATTCGGACAAGCTTTTCGCTTTCAAACCTATAGCATCGAAGTTAGTACTTACCGCCGCGAGTAATCCTATTCATAAGAATAAAGGCCTGTCGTCATCTTCGTCAAAATTGAACAAACCTAAAAATTGCACTATTTGTAATCGTGGTAAACATTTTTTGTATCATTGTCCGGAATTTAAGACATATTCCGTATCACCGCGTCGGGAATACGTCAAAGAAAATAAACTGTGTTTTTCGTGTATGAGTTCAACACACATTGAAGACACGCCCAACACGAAGCGAGGAGTGTTATCCGCCATTGCTAGATTGTTTGACCCCATTGGTGCCCTCGGTCCGATGCTATTGTGGGCTAAGTCATTCATGCAACAACGTTGGCAGACGCAGTTAAATTGGGACACTCCGCTTCCCCCACATCGAGCCCCACATCTACGTATAGCATGGCGTCAATTTTTATCAGAGCTTCCGTCGTTGTCTAACCTTACTATCACTCGCCATATTGACATCCGGGAATATCAGGACGTTCAGCTTCTAGGATTCGCCGATGCGTCCCAACGGGGTTACGCCGCGAACGTGTACCTTCGTGTGGTCCATCCATCTGTTAAGGTTTCCGTTTCTCTTGTAACATGCAAGACCAAGGTCGCCCCTTTGAAGGGTAGTGAAAGGGATGAGTCTCTTACCATACCTAGGTTAGAGTTATGTGCGGCCCTATTGTTGGCTCAGTTGTTGCATCGTCTCCACACGAAAATCGCGTCTGTCATTCCTATATCACATGTGCGTGCCTGGACTGACTCGTCAGTCGTCTTGTCTTGGCTTACGGCGGATCAAAAAATGTTCAAGATTTTTGTTACTAACAGAGTAGCCAAAATTCATACTCTACTTCCAAATGGCAAGTGGTCACATGTACGTACCACAGAGAATCCTGCGGACCCTTCATCACGCGGATTATTGCCTAGTGACCTTGTAGCTTGTACGCTGCATTGGAAGGGTCCAACGTTTTTACAGCTTTCGGAAGATCAATGGCCAGGACCACAGATCGAAACACTCAGTCTTGACGGCTTACCTGAGGTGAAGAATCCGTCCACGTGCGTGATGGTTGTCTGTGAAACGCCGAGCTTCGATACCTTTCTACTTCGTTTTTCGTCATGGTCCCGTCTTCAACATGCGTTAGCATATGCGTTGCGCTTCGTTGATCGTGTAATCGTAAAGCGACCCACGAACACGGACGCCCTTACACCAGATGAATTACAGCGTGCAATGCGACTTGCCGTTCGAGTCACTCAACGTACATATTTTCCCGAGCTCCTAAAACAACTGGCCAAACCCAACCAACTAGTGACGCCCCCGACTATGGCTCAGTTAGCACCTTTTATGGACCATGCAGGATTAATTCGAGGTGGTGGTCGGTTGCAGCGTTCAATGTTGTCTGATGACGCGAAACAACCGTATCTACTTCCGAAGGAATCCCACGTCACGTCACTGCTGATCACCGCGTTTCATCGAAGACTCTTACACGCAGGACCAAAGCTCATCATCGCGATGCTAAGTCAAGAATTTTGGATTGTGTCATGCCGGGAGGCCGTTCGTCGTGTTATTTTTAAGTGTGTCACGTGCACAAGGCACAAAGCACTACATCCAACACCTCGTATGGGTATCCTGCCTGAAGCTCGTGTCCATTCAGTTCGCGCGTTTTCGAGTGTCGGCACGGATTATGGAGGACCCTACCTCATTAAAGAATGTAAAAGACGAAACACGAAAACCACTAAAGTCTACATTGCGTTATTTGTTTGTATGGCTACCAAAGCCATACATCTTGAAATTGTTTCCGATTTGACAGCCGACGCGTTTCTTGCCGCTCTAGATAGATTTGTCGCACGCCGGGGTGTACCAGCACATGTGTATTCAGATTGCGGCACAAACTATGTTGGTGCTGCTGGACTGTTAAAACAGATATTTCGGGATAAAAACGTCCAAACCCAAGTGTCCGCTCATGTCGTTTGTGATTGGCATTTCAATCCACCTGCCACGCCGCATTTTGGTGGACTCTGGGAGGCGGGCATCAAAAGCGTGAAGTTCCATTTGAAACGAGTGATTGGCACTCAAGTGCTTACCTACGAAGAGTTCGAGACATTGTGTGTTCGAATCGAGGGAATTCTTAACTCACGCCCTCTCACTCCAGCTTCGATGGACCCACATGATCACACCGCCTTGACCCCTGGACATTTCCTCATCGGACAACCAATCATGGAAGTACCAGAAGTAAACCTCATCGAGATTCCGATGAATCGACTGACACGTTGGCAGCTTCTTCGACAGATGCATCAGTCGTTCTGGAAGCGATGGTCACGGGAGTACTTGAATACGCTCCAGGGTCGTCAGAAATGGACTACTATCCAGGATAACCTTAAAGTGGGGGATCTTGTCATTGTGGATGCTCCAAATCAGCCCCCTTCCGTGTGGCGTATGGGACGCATTACAGCTGTTCATCCAGGTCCAGACCAAATCGTCCGCGTAATTACCATCATCACACAAGATGGGGAGATGAAGAGACCGGTGGTCAAAGTTGTTAAACTGCCAACAGATAAGTAGACTGTCCTGGCTTCCTCTCGTTCATCCTCCATCCTCCTTTAAATTGTATATGTATCTCTGTACCATTCAATGTATTTTTATATTTGTATTTTTTATGTATTTCTTGAACCCGCAATTTTTTGTAATGTGTACGATCTGGTCTTTCAACATCAATCTTCAGCTCTGATGGTTCCTTGAAAGCCCACGGCTTTCAACGGGGGGAGAAAATGTTGGGTACGGATCCGTCACACGTCTCGCGGACTTCGGACGACCGTTCGTCGTTATCGCCCTACCTCCCACCACGAGCACACGCGCTTCATACAACACTTATCTCGCCGTTGTCGCGCGTGTTTTATATTATCGTTTTTGCAGTCCGTCGTCTCTCGTCCGTCGTACGTCGCCCAGCCATCCTGGCCTTTTCGGTTTAACGGTTTTTGTGTTTTTCATACCTTGCGGCCGTTTGCGCCAAAGGCACCGCCCGGACAGTGTGGTGTTCGTTTCGTGTTGTGTCGTTCTGCACACACACGAATTTCATACCTTGCGGCCGTTTGCGCCAAAGGCACCGCCCGGACAGTGTCGTGTTCGTTTCGTGTTGTGTCGTTCTGCACACACACGAATTTCATACCTTGCGGCCGTTTGCGCCAAAAGCACCGCCCGGACAGTGTTGTGTCCGTTTCGTGTTGTGTCGTTCTGCACACACACGAACTTCATTATTTTGCGGCCGTCTGCGCCAAAATAATAACCGCCGTTTTTCGCCCGCCCGTCGTTGCACGCAGTGCGATCCGCCGTGGTCCCCGCGTGGTATTCGCCGTTTGACCGCTCGCCCGTCGTTGTACGCAGTGCGATCCGCCGTGGTGTTCGCCGTTTTGACAGACGCCGCGACAACGACGTCCATACGCGACCGTACGATATTACGCGGCCGTACGAGCTTTTCGAACCCGCTTCGTCCGATTTCGACACATCTGTCAACCATGACGTTTTATTACACGGCAAGCTCATAGGTTCGTTGACCTGCCGGCCGACGTTGTCCTAGTCTACGTGCGGTGTACTGTCGCGATCCGGTTCCACCTCCGTCAGCTGATCGTCGTTCTGGGACAATCACACCACCCTCACGGTATCATCGGCATTATCAAGTATCAACGCATATCAGGTCGTACACAATATTGTTGTTGTTTATTTTTCGTATCACGCGCACCGTCACCGTGTATTATTTTCATTATTTGTAATTGATTTATTTGCCGATCGGATTGTGGTCGTGCACACTATACTATTATTACTAACCTTAGTCGTTAAGTTACTACATTTGCAGAACATTCAAAATAAATTATTCTGTACTTTTTTCATACCATAAAACGTAATTGTTAATGTTCATCCCAATACCCTAAACTCAATATTATGAATTTATCTTAAATACAGTCCACTCTCTCATCCTCCTCCCCACCGATAGAACGTCGAGGAATATTATACCTACGAAGACAACGAACGCGTCGGTTTACGTGTAGCTGCCGCCTGTGCACACACATCCAGGTACATCCGTCGCCCGGCTTCCTTGTGCAGCCCCCTGCTTCGCACAGGTGCTATTAAACATCTTTTGTATAAAGTAAACCATATTATGTGGTTAACACGGTACCACAACACACCAAATAGTTGATAATATTCATCTATTCCACCGTAAGGCAGGCTTAAATGTGGTTATTAATGAATATAGTGAAATCGTTTTACCTAAACAATATTATTTAATTTGGCGAATAACAAGACAATTCTGAATACGGACCATGTGGTTACACGAAATACGGATACAGTGTCATAGCACCTTAATAATTTAATAATATTACTGTTTGACAACAAGCCGTTCAGCATTCTTAATATTTATCACAGTTTGCAGTTTTCTATGGTTTTTTCTGCACTTTGCGTGCTTCTTACAGATAACACCCCTTTTCAACTGAACAGTTAATAATCAGAATCAAAAGTCGTAAGGATAGTTTTAGAGTTATTCAACTTTTTATTCTAAGGATAAAAGGTCCATTACCATGGTAGGTAATTAGTCATTACTAATGGTTTTATTTGATATTGGGGCCATGGATATATTGATTTGAAAATTTTAGTCATTAATATTGATTTATACATATTAATAATTTGTAAGAATGGCTTAAGTATAAAAAATACTAGATCCAATATTAAATCTATTTTATATTTTTGTTAAACCATTTTTAAGGACTATTATAATTATTTCAAATATTTTAATAACTAAGGAACTACTCTTTCAAATTTTGAATTAGGTACATCAACATTTTCAAAAAAAATGTCTACTAAATAATTTACAGTAAACGTTGGTGTAGCGTTTACTTAACTAGGCAATCCCAGTATTTAATTAAATTACCCTTTTATGTACGTGTATATACATAGGTACCATACTAAAGTCCACGCGATTCCTCATTTTATATCATTTTTTTCTACTGTTTACCCTCTTTTCTCACTCGACGTTTTATTCGAAAGCCTTCGCTTAAGGTCTTATTTAATTTCAATTGCGCGACAAACCCTTTTCAAGAAGAGTCCGTGTACTACCTACGTGTTATTTTATAATGTCATGCATTTATGTGTGTACGCGTCTCGTTTTATACAATATGTTTCCTTTAAAAGACGAAACTCGTTTAATTAAATTGGCTCATTTATAAAAATCAATATCACAGTTATTATAATATTTGATAATTAAACTAATCTGGTGATTATTTTTTTTTTATTTAAATGCATGTCACGTATAATACATCCAAGGATTGTTGAGTGAACTGCAATAGCATCGCTAAGTATAAATTATGATTTTACATTAATTTGTAACTATTAACCAACGACCATTTACCATTTTGTTCTAATATAGTTTAAATGTTTCAAGCTACATGTTATATCAATTGGTACCTACAGGATACAATACTGAGATTAAAGAAAAACAATAATATGTTATAGATATAGACTTAAATCTGAATGTTGACCAGTTTTCCTCAGTTTATGTTTTCGGTATTCAAATATTATAACTGCAGATTCTTAACTAAATATATCGTAAGGTTGCCCTCAACTGAATGCACCAATTGAGGACCAAATGTACAATATCGGACCTCGTACAAATAGGGGAACTTTATCAACATTTTAGACACGACAATTTTTTTGTGAGAAATTAAAATGTATGCCAATTATTATAAAAATATTGTACTTGTTCTTTAAATATATGCATTTTTTTATTTTCCCTATTTCATAGTTATCTAGTACTAATATTACAAGTCGTGCCGTCACATATGTACCTCCCATATTTTAGTTCAGGTGGGTGGGGGGGGGGTATTGTGGTTGTATATATAATATGTTAAATGAAACTGGTACATTAGGATGGGGGTAACTGGTGCATATTGCTCCAAGTAGTTTGGGAGGAATTGGTATTAAAAAAAGGAAACTTTAAGGACAACTTATACCGCTAAATTTAAAAAAAAAAAAAAAGTTCAAAAACTTTTGTTTGCAATATTACATTCACAAAATACAAACGATAAACATATGTATTTTATAAGTTTCATTATTTAGTTTTCATAGTAAACAAATATGTATATATAACCTAAGCTACTTAAAACAAATTTACTTATGCTAAGTACACCTTTTTGGTTTAACGTATTGTGACGTCGAGTAGGGAGTGGGGCGTCTACGCTGGTCAGTCGGTCGTACTACAAAACTTTCACGGTAAAATAGGTGCCAAGCTTGAACCGTAATTTATGGAAGTGATGTAAAAAAAAAGTTAGTTTAGTAAGTTCCTTAATTGTTATATCATAGAAACTTTGATATATTTTGATACTGAAAAAAATTACTCCAAGTGCAGTGAAATTTCCTATTCATATAGCCGTCGATAATTGTATATTACCTATAGCATTATAAATTATAATGTGTTAAAAATCAAACATTGTTAAAATATTAATATTAAATAGTTTCAAGGCTACATTTAATACAATAAAATAGTAGAAATTAACACCTGTAAGCTAATAACCTATGTAGTTGTGCTTAACCAATAAAAAAAAAAAATAATAAAAAAAAATAGTAAATTTTACTAAAAAAATTATCTTATAAACTGTAATAACGTATACTTATGGCTACCTAATAAGTAACAATATGCAGAATTATTAAAAATATGTAACCAAAACCAACAATCAACAGGTTTTCCACCTAGTCCAACAAGTAAAACTATTTGTACCTACTTATGACTTATGACCCCATTATATCATATTAAGAACACATTAATTTTATTTATTTGTGAAACTATTGCTATATAGTTCAATTATTTTTATAATTTTTACAATAATAATCGCCATTAATAAAAGAGTTCTTAACTAACTATAAAAAAGGTATTGGTGTTCTTGGTGTTCCTATGTCAGGGATGGGTTGATAAAATGAAATATTTTCACGAAGGTATATTATTATGCAATAATTCAATATGTACCTTCCTACATAAAAAAGTATAAATACCTGTGTTGCAATACAATCCATGACTGATTTATTATTTATAGAATATATTATTAAATATAATAATTATATGTCATGATGACTGAGGAGGAGTAGACTTGATTGCCTGGGATTTAGAATATTATATACAAATATAATAGTTACCTCATTTTTATATAACTTTAGTACTTTATAAACAATTAAATTTGAAAAATCTATAGATATGAATATGGCCAATCATATTACAATATTACCTACCTTTTTAAATGTTTAATATATCAACTGAAATGTGGTACTATACAGCGGCATCCATGGGTTGTTGTATACCTACTTTAGATAACTAGAAAATATAAGTACTAATAGATTACTTTCATGATAGCTTAGCGCAGATATGTTACATAAATTGTTTGAATATGTAGGCCATGTAATATTATGTGCAGTTGAGATTGGAATTGAACATAATAAAGGGTAGGTATTTGGTGATAGGACGTGATATGGATTTATGTGCGACAGATTCATATGTACAACGACGGTAGTTTAGTCGGATGGTTTTAGGGCAAAAGCGTAAATTAAGGGATAAATGATTAACAAACGAGGGCTGATCCAAGACAGACGTCTGGCAAGTGGCACCGCCGTCCGGAAAAGACGATGACAGCGACTGCAGTTAATAGCCCGGGACGGGATTACGTGTAATGGTATTAGGAGATATGTGTGCGGTGCAAGCAGCACAATAGGAGAAAGAGGAGAATGAGATATGGGCGAAGGGGTGTAAAGACGAAAGGGCGATTGTATGGCGAAAGGGTAGTAGAAAGGTGGATGGGAAGACAACGGATGACGACCAAGAGGGGTGACTTGGGACGATAAGGGGAAAAGGATACATTGTTGCATGATAAAACACGACGGACAACAATGCAGATTCGTTGCCTAACAAATGGCCGCCTAATTAACCGATCGACCAGTGCGTGACGGGTGGGTGGGAGGGTTTTCGGTGGACGAGTGGTGGTTTTAATGGAGGTGGTGGTGGGGAAGAGTTGCACTTCGAATTAAACAGGGTGCGCGGAGCACAGAGTTACCATTGTTCCGACTGTGTGTGTATATAAAGACACGCGGGTCCTGGGAATCTAAATTGTGTTTCACGATACATTAGCCCGTGCAGAAACGCCCATAAGCCGCTGCTCGAAATTTAAACAATTATTGTTTTCCCACCCCTATCACCCACCCCTCATCCGTCACCATCCACTTGGCTGACTCTCACGCCGTCACACTCAGTTTTTGGTCGAAAATATATTAAAATAATATTATATTATACTATAAAATTGTTTTTATTTATTTTCTGTTCAACCGTTTTGAAACTTATAAAAGATCGATATATATATATAAATAATCCATGCAGTTGTGCAGATCCATGTGGTATGATGTGCGTAGTCAGGAAAAATGGAACTGTGATTTGTATAGGTACCTACAACACACTCAAATACATTTCAGACTTTATCCGTTTTCCAAACTCTAATTGATGTGCTTGTTATTGTAGCAAATTATCTTTCCTCCCGGTGTATTTTATTTTTAATAATATTAGTCTAATATAGTTTAAACCTAACTGTAAATCTAGTAGAATTAATCTTTATCGTGAACCTATTAATATTAATATAATGTTCTGTTTAGTAAATAGTACATTTTTCTTTTTCCATAAGTAACATAACTAAATAAATATTAAAACAAAAATATGAAAACAATTTTTATAATCTGATACCTACATTGTTAAATGATTTATTTAGTTTTTATTTATTATATTACATTTTGGGACAAAAATATTGGGTCCAAAAATATATTTTACATCAGATTCTAATGAATTTTATAGTTTCCTGTAATACCTAATAATACCTACTTAAGTTGTCTGTTTCCCTATCTAAATATTATACTATAATACCTAGTATAGTAGATATCTAATAAGTAATGAAAGTACCTATGTATTATTAGATACCTATTATATATTTAATGACAGTCTATATGTCCCGTTCTGTATTATAATCCCTTATAATTGCTTTTTCATTATTCAAATCAAAACCGTCTATTAATATCATTATTTATGAACTTTATATACACTAATTTAATTGAAAGACAAACAAAATATAAACTCGAGTTATGTATGTGAATATAATATATAATATATATAATATATTGTATAAATACACGTATTGTATACTCGTCACTAGGTTAAAATTTAAAAACCATAATATTTCTTTTAGCCAATTTGAATTTATTTCAAAATTAACATTTAAAAGTTCATACATTAATTTAATATCACAAAACGTACACTTACAAAGGTGTATCCATTAACTAAAAATTCATTTTAAATTTAAATTTTATAAACAAAACAGTCATAAGCGTAGGCGTAATCTAGCCCGGGGGCAAGTGTGACAGGCACCCCCTTGACATTTTAAGGTGTGGCTAAAGACATCGTTTTACTCCCCTGTTGTAAGCTCTAATTCACTGAATATCACAACACTTTTTTTAAAACATTGTGTTGAGATTGAATATTACTTTTTTGTGTGCGTTTTATGTAGGTAATTACTAAATGTCCATTACAATTTTTATAATGTAATAGTTACACTTAAAGTTTAGATCATTATAATATGGATAGTACATACTTGAGATTTATTTTACTAATCAAGCAATCCTACAAAACTTCAATGACTGCTTTAATATGTTTGTACATGTATATTGTATAGCTTTTTTTTATATCGTTGAGTCATTTGAGGGTTAGAAGTTAGAACGGTGTCACTTCTTCCCCCATTATACTTTTAGGGACGTTAGGTAAACAATGTTTATTATTTTACTCCTCTAAAACTATCGAAGTTCAACAACTGCATCATATAACTTATAATTTCTAATAATAATAATATGTAGGACGATTTACCCCCATTTTTACCATCAATAAGAGTTTATTCAAATTCTAGTTTTTGGATTTTTTAAATAACATATTAGTTACCTACTTAAATACCATGCTGTAAATTTATTAAGAGTTTTTGCTGCTTATAAAATGTCCTGTCACGATACTATAACTACTGTTTTTCAAATGAGAAAAAAGATTTAAAGTAAGATATTTATAGTGGTTACATTTTTTGAAAATGTTGATGTATTTAATTCAAAATTTGAACTAGTAGTTTTTCAGTTATTAAAATGGTTATCCTTAGTATAATAAACATTAAAAATAATATACAAGCATAGTATAAAATAGATGTATTATCGGTTGCTCTACAAATTGGTTATTGTGATTATAAGATTAGAATCAACAAATGTACGGTATTGTTTTATTTAATATCCCGAAGTACCTAGTATTGAAAAAATAGCAGTAAAATACCAAATGTATCAGTGTTTTATGAACAGAGCTGAATTATTTTTCCAATAACTTAAGTAGAACCAAATCGTGTAGCTTATATACAAATTAATAATATTAATTTATAATACAATTATAATAAAAAAAAAAATCGTTAAACAAAACATACAATTTCACATCCAATTTATTTTAGACCTATATAATATGTATCATATATAACAATAATTTAAGACACTCTACTAATAGGATAATTTACATAAACAATTTAACACAAATTGGAACAAGTGACTATTGAATTTCTAATGAAGTTTATTTTTTTTTTTCAAGGCAGTATATATAACTTTACTCCGTTAGCCTTTAGGATTCTCCTAATGAGAAACATTTATCATCGTATACACTTATTTTGTCTAAGCGTATTAACGAAAGACACGTATTTCTATTTTTTTTCATTTTAAGAATAATTTGTCCACTGTATATATGCCAACAAATTAAATTCAAAAATATAAAATGCAATATTGACAATATACACTTATTATATCACTTGAGTTTAAAATTATCGAAGCGATATAAATTGATATTTTTTTTTTTTTACCTATTAAAACTGCTGTGTTACAAAATAATTTGATTCCTGATACTTAAAAACAATAAGCACCATAATCATAAAAAAATTTATTGGTAGAAACTATAATTTTTAACCCGAATGTCTCACAACCAATAAATTTGTTATATATTTTTTTAAATTATATCTTTTTTTTAGATTCTGAGTGGAACGATGAATTTATTGATTTTACAATGATGTGTGTTTTTTTTTATTTTTATTTTATTTGTGCCTGTGATACACGATAAGTAGTATAAATAATGCTTCGCTTTTTCACTTCAGTATCTTGTTCGATTGGACAGTGAATCTAGTTGATGCAATCGAGAGGTCAAATTTTAAAATTCCCAATAGTTTTCACAAGCGCCGGGATTAAACACATACAAATTAAGGAATAACGGGAATTTTTACGCAAAATCTGTTTTCCAAAAAATCGATTTTGGTTTTTGGTGTAATTCTAAAACAAATGAACGTATATACATGACATTTTCACTGGTTGTTTATATTTGCATTTTCAATACACGATAAAATTTTTAAAATATAATGATTTGTTTTGAACTGTTTAGGGAAATTTTCATTTTCCATTTCTTTTTAGTTTTTATTCTAAAAATATCAATAATATTTTATTTGTTGGTTTCGAAAGCTGTAAAATTTTATTTGTTGGTTAAAAAAACTTGAAAATTTGATAGAAGGCTCCTAGTATATTGTTTCAAAGGCAAATGAAAAATATTAAAAATCCTTAGTCACAATTTTTTTTTATAAGCATTTAAAGTTCAAAATTTGACAAAATATGTAAAAATCGCGAAAATTAGCAAATTATTTTGAGTTAAGAATTCGTAAAAAATTTTCTTTTTAAATCTAAGGTTTTAATGTTGAATACAAGATTTCTTATAAGATTATCTACTAAAATTATCAAAAAAAAAATGTTTATATGAAAGTCAAATTCAATTTTTATGAGTGTTTGAAATTCAAATTTTTACAACATTGGATATTCACTCGATTTCTCATGTAGCGATTTCTTTATTTTGTTGTAATTCAAAAACAAATATCTATAGATACATGAAAATTTCACTGAATGTTAATATTAGGCATTAGCATTTCCTATACACCATACAATTTTTAAAATATGTTCACTCTTTTTGAGCTGTTTACGGTTATTTACAGTTTTAAATTTTTTAGTTTTTTTTTCTATAAATATCAATAAAAATTTATCTGTTTTCCAAAAAGTATAAAAATTTAATACAAGCCTCCTGATATATTGTAACAATATCAGTTGAAAAATATAAAAATACATAGACACAATTTTTTTTTCAGCGAGGAAAAACGGTAATTTTTATGAATATGTTAGCAGATTTATGGTGCAACACTAAAACAAATTACCGTAGATACATGAAATTTTCACTGAATGTTTATATTAGCATTTTCTATACACCATATAATTTTCAAAATATTATGTTGACTTGTTTTGAGTTGTTTATAGGGACATTTTCAGTTTCTAATGTTTTTAGTTTTTTTTTTTAAATGTCAATAAAATTTCATTCGTTGGGTAAAAAAGCTTGAAAATTTAATACAAGACTCCTGATATAGTATTACAATAGCACTTGAAAAATATTAAAAATACATATACACAATTTTTTTTATAATCATTTAAAGTTCGAATTTTGACAAAATTTATCAAATTTAAAATTTAATAATAATTTGTAGTTAAAAATGTATAAAATGTTCAAATTTTATAGCTAATGATTGAAAATTTAAAACAAGTTTGTACGTAAATAGTTGATTCTGTTACCAAAAAATCTAAAAAATACACAAGCACAGTTTAATTTTATAGCCATTTTAAGTTCAAATTTGGACGAAATTACATATTAAAATCAATATTAACGACTTTGGTATTTTGTTGTAATTTAAAAATATTATTCGGGGATATTATATGAAAGTGAAAAATCAAAAAATCAA